CCTCCTGAGTAGCTGGGATTACAGACACGTGCCACCATGCCCAGCTAATTTTTTGTAGTTTTAGTAGAGACGGGGTTTCACCGTGTTGACCAGGATGGTCTCGATCTCTTGACCTAGTGATCCACCCGCCTCGGCCTCCCAAAGTGCTGGGATTACAGGCTTGAGCCACCGCACCCGGCCTAGCTCTAGATCCTAAGCAAGAAAGTCCTAGACTACCGGGTCCAGTGATTAGGAAGAAGAACTTGTGAAACATTTAACCCTTTACAACTTTTCTGTATTGATTGTTTCTGTTTTCCTTTTTTTTAAGACAGGGTCTCTGTCACCCAGGCTGGAGTGCAGTGACTTGATCACAGCTGACTGTAACCTCGAACTCCTGGGCTCAAGCAATCTTCCTGCCTTAGCCTCCTGAGTAGCTAGGACTATAGGGGAATGCCACCAGGCCTGGCTAATTTCATAATTTTTTGTAGAGCCCAGGAGCTTGCCTGTGTTGCCCAGGCTGGTCTCGAACTCCTGGACTCAAGTGATCCTCCCCGCTCGGTCTCGCATAATGCTGGGATTACAGGTGTGAGCCCACCATGCCCAGATGTTTTCCCTCTTGTAATAACGATTACCATTTATTAAGCACATACTATATTCCAGGTATTCCTTTTGCCACGTTAGATATATTATTTCATTTTGTCCTTAAAACAACCCTGTAAGATATTATTACCACTGTTCCTTTTTTTTTTTTTTTGAGACTGAATCTCGCTCTGTCACCAGGCACCAGGCTGGAGTGCAGTGGTGCGATCTCGGCTCACTGCAACCTCGCCTCCCAAGTTCAAGCAATTCTCCTGCCTCAGCCTCCCGAGTAGCTGGGACTACAGGCGCACGCCACCACGCTCAGCCAATTTTTATATTTTAGTAAAGACAGGGTTTTACTATGTTGGCCAGGATGGTCTCAATCTCTTGACCTTGTGATCCACCTGCCTTGGCTTCCCAAAGTGCTGGGATTACAGGTGCGAGCCACCTCGCCCGGCCATCACTGTTCTTTAGATAAAATTAAGACACTGAGAAATTAAGTCGATTGCACAAGATCATGTGGCTAGTAAGAGGCACAGTGTATCTGAGTGCAGGTCTGCTTGGCCTCAAAGCCTGCCTCTTAGTCATTATACTATAATTCTTCTATGCAAAAGTTTTTTTTCCCCTTAAAAGTAGAAATATTTAATAAGAACATTAAGCATAACAGTATCTTCAACAAGTATTGCTAATCACTCAAAAGATCACACAGAAATATATTTAAAAGCACATAGTTGTACCTGTTCCATTTTTAATAATCCTTAACTTTCCTGTAGGTTTTTGGAAACATTTTTAGTAAACATTGAAGAATAGGGACAAAGGGTCATTCTGGGATTTTCTTTCTGTTTTCAGACGTGCCTTAAAGACATTATTAGAGCACAGACGCATGGGTATCCAGAAAGATTGCAACCCAAGATAATGTTACGTAAAGCAGAATGTCTGGTGGCCCTGGGGAGACTACAGGAGGCGCGCCAGACCATCAGTGATCTTGAAAGGAACTTCCCTGCCAGCCCAACCCTAGCAGATTTCCCCTCTCAGAGTGTGCAGAGAAACCTCCATCATCTGAAAATGAAAGTACAAGAAAAGGAGAATCTCCCAGAAACCTTCCCGGCAGCTCTGGCCAAAACCCTTGAGGGTGTGGACCTAGGAGAAGAGAATAAACAACTTTCCAACGCCTCATCATCTGTCGGCTTATGCATGGATCCTTTAAAAGGTCGCTGTCTCGTCGCCACAAGAGAGATTCTCCCAGGAGAGCCTCTGGTGAAGGAGGGTGCTTTTGTGAGTGTTCTTAACCCAGGAGAACTGCCACCACTGCATCACAGCCTAGACAGCAAATGGGACACCAGAGTTACCAATGGGGACCTCTACTGTCACCGATGTTTGAAGCACACTTTGGCCACAGTTCCCTGTGATGGATGCAGCTATGCCAAGTATTGCAGCCAAGAGTGTTTGCAGCAGGCCTGGGAGCTCTACCATAGGATAGAATGTCCTCTAGGTGGGCTGCTTCTCACACTGGGTGTGTTTTGCCACATTGCCCTGAGGTTGACTCTTTTGGTGGGATTTGAGGATGTTAGCAAAATCAGGAAGCTTTGTGATGAGGTTAGTAATAAGGACATCTATTTACCTGAAAGCAACAGTCGGGTTAAGACACTTAATTCTGGCCTAGGGGAGATTGAGAAAAATGGCAAAATCGTTGAGACCCCAATTCCTGGATGCGATGTTAATGGGAAGTATGAAAGTAATTATCAGGCTGTCTTCAACCTTTTGCCCCATACTGAAAACCATAGCCCAGAGCACAAATTCCTCTGCGCGCTCTGTGTTTCTGCACTGTGCAGGCAGCTAGAAGCAGCCAGTTTCCAGGCTGTCGCAACAGGTGCAGACTCCTCCCGGCTGAAAGCAGCAGCGGCGCCTGAGTTGTGTCCAGACGTGACTGTTTGGGGTGTGGCGATGCTCCGACACATGCTCCAGCTACAGTGTAACGCCCAGGCGATAACCACCATACAGCACACAGGTAAGAGGGAAACCGACCTGCCTGCTGACACTGTTAGTCTTGATGGAGCAGGTGTTTGAGAAGAAAGAATTGCAAAGGAAAATAGTAGGATTCAAACAAATCAGTGAGCTAATGGGGTCACTAAGCTGCCTTGTTTATTATGACATTAAGAAGCTATATGACCAGCCGGGTGCAGTGGCTTATGCCTATAATCCCAGCACTTTGGGAGGCTGAGGCGGGTGGATCATGAGGTCCAGAGATCGAGACCATCCTGGCCAACATGGTAAAACCCTGTCTCTTCTAAAAATAACAAAAAAAAAAAAAAAATTAGCTGATCATGGTGGTGCAATGTGCCTATAGTCCAAGCTACTCGGGAGGCTGAGGCAGGAGAATCGCTTGAACCTGGGAGGCAGAGGTTACAGTGCGCCTAGATAGCACCACTGCACTCCAGCTTGGCGACAGCTGAGGGGTTTTTCGACCCCGTCTCAAAAAAAATAATTTGATACCATTCTGCCTTGGTTTTCTCATCTGCAAAATGAGTAGTTTTATCCCAGCTAACTTTATAGAGTTGTGTAAAGCTGTGTTTGTAAAAATTATTGTAAAAGTCCATATTACTGAAAAAAAATTTTTTAATTTATTTTTTTGAGAAAGAGTCTTTCTCTGTCTCCCAGGCTGGAGTGCAGTGGTGCAGTTCAGCTCACTGTAACCTCCACCTCTCAGGTTCAAATGATTCTCGTGCCTCAGCCTCCCGAGTAGCTGGGATTACAGGCATGTGCCACCACGCCTGGATAATTTTGTATTTTTAGTAGAGATGGGGTTTCTCCATGTCGGTCAGGCTGATCTCGAATTCCCAACCTCAGGTGATCTGCCCGCCCAGGCCTCCCAAAGTGCTGGGATTACAGGCGTGAGCCACTGTGCCCAGCTTTTTCCCCCCCGCCCTTTTTATTTTATTTTATTTTATTTATTTATTTATTTTTTGAGATGAAGTGTTGCTCTGTTACCCAGGCTGAAGTGTGGTAGTGTGATCTTGGCCCACTGCAACCTCCATCTCCTGGGTTCAAGCGATTCTCCTGCCTCAGCCTCCCGAGTAGCTGGGATTGCAAGCATGCACCACCACGTCCAGCTAATTTTTGTGCTTTTAGTAAAGATGGGATTTCACAATGTCTACCAGGCTGGTCCCGAACTCCTGACCTCGTGATCTGCCCGCCTCAGCCTCCCAAAGTGCCGAGACTGCAGGCATGAGCTGCTGCACCCAGGGAGGTATCAGACTCAACTCACTGAGCTACTCTCTGTCTTCTCTTTCCAATTGACACACATTTCTCATTCTTCTAAATTTCCAAGAGAGGAATCCAGCCCAGCACAGCCTTCCACCCCACATTGCACCATAAGCTGCCTGCCTACATACTGCCTGTGCTTTGATCCAGGGGCCACCTCTAAACAGACCCTCCGGCTTAGCCCCGCTTTCCTGAGCTGGAGTCTATAGATAATGTGACTTAAGATAGACGGGAAGGTTGGGTGTGCCAGAATCTTGATCCAGTGTGACATCTCCAGTGTGACTACTGACAGCAGATACAACTATTATTAGAAAAGTGGCATTTGCAGCATTTCTTTGTATGAGCTTCATTTTAACAGAAAATGTTTTTTGACTCAGTCTGTTCATTATACTTTTCCTAATTTTTTCGGTTAACTCTCTTGAGAGGGAAGAAACTAGGTGCTAGCTAAACTGAGTTTTTATAGACAGATTAATATTAAATGTGACTTAACTCTACATGTTTAGCTCATTTGATCTTCTCACATTAGGTAATCTAGAATTTGTCAGCCTATTTTTGTGTGTATTTTTATGTTTAATTTTACTTCGGCAGGCAAGTTATATGGTATATAGTTATCTTGCTAGAGATGTTTTGGCCAAGATGCTCTTCCCCATCCTGAAGCACATGGAACATCCAAAAATAGAACTGGCCTCGTCCCCTGATACTACTAAATCATGTTTCAAGCCAGTCTGTGTTCTTCTCTGGCCCTCCTGTTTCTTTGAGCCATTGCTACCTCCTAAAATACAGCTGTTGAGTGTTTTTCCGGAATTATGTTTTCCTTTGGGCACATTCACTTGCATTTTTTAATATACTTATTTTGTTTTCCTGAACATAATATATGGGGCTTCCAGATAAAAGGGCAGAAAGTTACCAACTCTTAATTCCATGTCTTGCCTTTAAAATCCTTAATAGGGCCTGGTGCAGTGACTCACATCTATAATCCAAGCACTTTGGTAGGCCGAGGCAGGTGGATCACGAGGTTAGGAGTTCAAGACCAGCCTGACCAACATGGCAAAACCCGGCCTCTACTAAAAATACAAAAATTAGCTGGGCGTGATGACGTACACCTATAGTCCCATCTGCTTGGGAGGCTGAGACAGGAGAATCAGCAGAGGTTGCAGTGAGCCTAAATCACGCCATTGCACTCCAGCCTGGGCAACACAGCGAGATTCCATCTTAAAAAAAAAAAAAAAAAAAAAAAAAAAAAAAAAAAAGCCAGACACTATGGCTCACAACTGTAATCCCAGTACCTTTGGAGTTGAGAAGGGAGGATCGCTTGAAGCTACGAGTTTGAGATTAATCTGGGCAACAGAATGAGACCCCCATCTCTATAAAACGTAAAATAAGCCAGTCACGGTGTTATGCATCTGTAGTCCCAGCTACTCAGGAGGTTGACCAGAGAGGGTGGCTTGAGCGGGAGGTCAGCTGCAGTGAGCTATGATCATGCCACCGGACCCCAGCCTGGGTATCAGAGCAAGATGCCCTCTTGGGATTTAAAAAAAAAAAAAAAGCCAGGCACGGGGGCTCACTCCTGTAATCCCACCACTTTGGAAGGCCAAGGTGAGAGAATTGCGTGAGTCTAGGAGTTCGAGACCAGCTTAGGCAATATAGTGAGACCCAGTTTGTTAAAAAAAAAATTGCCTAAATTGTCCCAGAAGGAGGAAAACACTTCAAAAAACCAGCAACTGTAGAAGAGTCAAGTTAGCAAAATATTTCCCTAAAAATGAGGCAGACCTATTTGTTTCCATGTGAATTCTTTAAAACTTTTTTTTCTTTTTTTGGGAGATGGAGTCTCGCTCTGTAATTCAGGCTGGAGTGCAGTGGTGCAATCTTGGCTCACTGCAACCTCCGCCTCCCAGGTCCCAGTTCAAGCCATTCTGCCTCAGCCTCCCGAGTAGCTGGGATTACAGGCATGTGCTACCACGCCCAGCTAATTTTTGTATTTTTAGTAGAGATGAGGTTTCACCATGTTGGCCAGGCTGGTCTTGAACTCCTGACCTCGTGATCCACCTGCCTCGGCCTCCCAAAGTGCTGGAGGATTACAGGCATGAGCCACCACACCCAGCCTGAATTCTTTAAAACTTTTAGGGAACATATTTAACCATAATTCAAAAAAAAAAAAAGAAACAACCATCTCTGAAGAACAGATCAAAGCCAAGCACAGCGACTCATGCCTATAATCCCAGCACTTTGGAAGGCTGAGGTGGGAGAATCGCTTGAGCCCAGGAGTTGGAGACCAGTCTGGGCAACACAGTAAGAGCCCATCTCTACAAAAATTAGCTGGGCATGGTGGCACACACCTGTGGTCTCAGCAACTCAGGAAGCTCAGGTGGGAAGATTGGTAGAGCCAGAAGCAAGGCTGCAGTGAGCTACGATGGCGCAGTGCACTCTATCCTGGGTGGCAGAGTGAGACCCTGTCTCAAAAGCCTGGGCCCGGCGGCTCACACCTGTCATCCCAGCACTTTAGGAGGCCAAGGCAGGCGGATCACCTGAGGTCAGGAGTTTGAGACTAGCCTGGCCAACATGGTGAAACCCATCTCTAAAAATATAACAATTAGCTGCATGTGGTGGCAGGTGCCTGTAATCTCAACTTCTAGGGAGGCTGAGGCATGAGAATCGGTTGAACCTGGAAGGTGGAAGTTGCAGTGAGCCGAGATCGTACCACTGCACTCCAGCCTGGGCAACAGAGCAAGACGCTCAAAAAAAAAAAAAATCAAAGGCTGAAGCAGGAGGAATGCTTGAGCCCTGGAGTTCAAGACCCCACCATAGGGAGCAACAGCAAACGAAAGAACAGCTCATTTGTACACTGTGTAAACTGTTCCAGGGGTGGGGAAACCTAGAACTCTTTCCCACTCACTTTAGAAAGCCAATAATAAAAACTAGAGTCCAGTCTCACTTTTGAATATAGATATAGAAACCCCGTATAAATCACTGCCATATCACATCCAGCAGTTTATTAAAGGACCAAGTAGAGTTTCTCCCAGAAATGCAAAGGCACTTTAATTTGGAGGGATGTAAACGAAGGCCTAGATAACCACAGAGGCACGCCATATTCTTAACGGGAAGACTGGAAACTTGAGGTTTCCCTGCATTAACCTAATCAATCTAATACCATTTCAAATGGAATCACAATTGAGTTTTCGTGGAACTTGACAACGTTCTAAAGTTCAACTTGAATAAATGGGTGAGAATAGCTTTTTTTTTTTTTTTTTTTTTTTAAGAGAAGTGAAAGGTCTTGGCACTGTCAGATTTCATACCAGCATTAAAGCTACAAACTTAAAAACAACTTGAAACGGATGACAGCCCCCGAAAAGGATTAGAGTCTTTTTTCAAATCATTAAAAACTTAACTGTTTCAGAATTAAACCATCAGTTATCTAGATAAAGTTAAGTGAACGTTTATATACTCTTAGGGCAGGAGAGGCTTCTTAAAATACTATATAATATCAAATTTAGGTAATTAAAAGAGAGCCAGATTTAGCTACCTAGGTACCAAATATCAAGAACACCATAACCGATTAAGGAGATAAAGAATATAGATGAGGCTGGACCCAGTGGCTCACACCTGTAATCCCAGCACTTTGGGAGGCCCAGGAGGTCGGATCACCCGAGGTCGGGAGTTTGAGACCAGCCTGACCAACAGAGAGAAACCCCATCTCTACTAAAAATACAAAATTAGCCAGGCATGGTGGCGGGCGCCTGTAATCCCAGC